CCGCATTGTGCCTTTAGACAAAAGCTTCCCGACTTCGCGAGTCTATAACGATTCTAGGGAGAAAAGAAAGCCCCTAGCTTTAAGCCGGGGCCGCACTGTGACGATTTGCGTGCAGTGTCGTGCAATCGTAAATGCATCAGCGAGCCTCGAGGGAAAACGAAGCTCTCGAATTTTTCTCGATTTTTCCAGTAATTTTTCTCGACCTATCCTTTATTTTGTCTCGATTGTTCCTTTCATTTTTCTCGAGTTTTCCTTTCATTTTTATCTAGTTTTCCTTTCATTTTTCTCGACTTTTCTTTTAATCTTCCTCGACTTTTCTTTTAATTTTTCTCGATTTTTCCTTTAATCTTTCTCGACTTTTCTTTTAATCTTTCTCGACTTTTCTTTTAATTTTTCCTTACCAAAATTCCTAAAGATTTCGGAATGAAGACATGTTCGCTTCGTAAAATCGTAAATATCAAACGTGAATTTTTCAGAACGAAGACTTTCTATGCCAAAGTTTCTAAGGATTTCGAAATGAAGAATCAGACATGTTCACTTCGTAAAATCGTAAATTTCAAACTTGAAGTTATCAGACCGAAGACTTTTCTTACAAAAATTTCTTAGGATTTCGGAATGAAGGATCAGACATGTTCACTTGGTAAAATCGAACATTTCAAACGTGAAATTTTCAGAACAAAGACATTCCTTGCGAAAATTTCTAAGGAGTTCGGAAAGAAAGATCAGACATGTTCACTTTTTAAAATCAAAAACTTCAAACGTGAAATTTTCAGAACAAATACTTTCCTTGCGAAAATTTGTAACGATAGCGGAAGGAATTAGGAGGCTTATCGATAATCGAAAAGTCCCCGGCGATAAGATTTCTTCCCTTCTCATTTCCGAAGCTCTCGGTCAGTTTCGAGGCAATAATGGGCGCTTCGATATCTCGAAGGGTGGCCGAGCGATCAATCAAGCTCGAAAGCCGGAAAGTAATTGCGACACCTCGACAAAAAGGTCGATATCCTTCGGAAATCTGGCTCGTATCTGGAGCTCGACGTTTCCCGGACGGTCCCGATCCTGGTCCCCCCAGGATTCGTTCCTGTTGGCTCCTCAAAAGCCAATTTACGATCATAGAATCGCAGATCCATCAGGAGAAAGTCCAGCGAGCGATCCGTCACATCCTTGACGGTCTTATAGAAAAGAAAAGGAGCCGGCAAAAAGGGGGCGAGAAATCCGCGCAAGGACAACAAAGGATCTCCCCGTCGGTACCGAACTCTTCAAGGATTTAATTCTCCCCGTGAAAACGAAACCTACCCTTTAAAAGTTAAATCGAGCTTGCGGGACCTTTAGAAATAGAAATTTTATGTGGAGAAAAAATTATTCTATAGAAATACAGGAGCCAGCGAAAAATGGTATTCCCACCCCTACATATCTCTTCCCAATAATTAAATTCTCCCCATTAAAATTAACCAAACCCTCCAAAATCCAATCGATTCCCCCAAATCCCCTTCGAGATCGAAATAGACAGTACAACCATTACAGAAAATGAAACGTGATATCGAAAAAAAAACCTGTAAAAATCCCACTAAGAACCTCCCCACCCCTACACATCTCCTCCCAATAATCAAATTTTCCCCATAAAAATTAACCAAACCCTTCAAAATCCAATCGACTCCTCCAAATCCCCTTCGAGATCGAAATTGACAGTACAACCATTACAGCAAATGAAACGTGATATCGAGAAAAAAACCTGTAAAAATCCCACTAAGAACCTCCCCACCCCTACACATCTCCTCCCAATAATCAAATTTTCCCCATAAAAATTAACCAAACCCTCCAAAATCCAATCAACCTCAAAATCTCCTTCGAGATCGAAATTGGCAGTACAACCATTACAGCAAATGAAACGTGATATTGAGAAAAACCCGTAAAAATCCCACTAACTTGCCCACCCCTACACATATCTACATAAGAGTCAAATTCTCCCCATAAAAATTAACCAAACCCTGCAAAATCCAATCAACCTCCAAATCTTCTTGGAGATAGAAATTGACAGTAAAATCATTACAGAGAATAAAACCTGAGATCGAAAGAACCTGTCAAAAAATCCCTGTACGAACCTCCTTACCCCTACACATCTCTTCCCCATAATTAAATTCTCCCCATTAAAATTAACCAAAATCCAATCGACTCCTTCAAATCCCCTTCCAGATCGAAATTGACAGTACAACCATTACAGCAAATGAAACGTGATATCGAGAAAAACCTGTAAAAATCTCACTAAGAAACTGCCCACCCCTACACGTATCTCCTTAAGAATGAAATTCTCCCCATAAAAATTAACCAAACCCTCCAAAATCCAACCAACCTCCAAATCTCCCTCGAGATCGAAATTGACAGTACAACCATTACAGCAAATGAAATGTGATATCGAAAAAAAAAACCTGTAAAAATCCCACTAAGAACCTCCCCACCACTACACATCTCTTCCCCATAATTAAAGTCTCCCCATTAAAATTAACCAAACCCTCCAAAATCCAATCAACCTCCAAATCTTCTTGGAGATCGAAATTGACAGTACAACCATGACAGCAAATGAAACGTGATATCGAAAAAAAAACCTGTAAAAAGCCCCACTAACATTGAGAACCACCCCACCCCTACATATCTCCATAAGAATGAAATTCTCCCCATAAAAATTAACCAAACCCCCCAAAAATCCAATCGACCTCTACAAATCTCCTTCGATATAGAAGCTTACCGTACAATTAACAAAAAGAAAAAAAATGGAAACAAGGAAAATAGAGAATGGGCGACAAGGAAATAATTCCCGCAATTTATCAGGGGAGCTCGAGGACGGTCGCGCCCTTGATTTACGAGGGCTGAAAAGGGCGACGCTTTCGCGATGCTTTCGCGATGCTTTCGCGGCTCCTCTCAGGGATGGGAGAACCAGCGGGATGAAAACGCAGGCGGCGTTTCCGGCGAAACACGCCATTTGCGTAGTCGAGTCCCCCGGGTCGGGTGTCTGTCGCCCAGGGCTCCAACGGGGGGTAGGGCCCACGCCATGGGGGTTAGGAGCGGCGCAGCAACATGGGGGAGCACTCTGCAATTTGGGCGGCAGGATTTTGAATAATCGAGTTTGGTCTTCGCCCTTTAAATTCCCGCGGGGAGGATCTCTCTGGGCGCCCCTCTCGTCGATAACGCGCCTTCGAAGCGTTATCAGGAGCCATTTCGTCGCGGGGCGAGGACCAGGGTTAGGCCGTGTCAGCCGGCGAGTTAGAGAGGACGTTAAGTGACGCCTAATGACGTTAGCCGCCGTCTGGGTGGGTCCCAACAGCGACGATAAATTGCACACCCTGACGAGAAATCAAGACCTTTTTTGGGATGGTCGATGACCAGCTAGGTGTTCCCTAATTTCGAGGGGTGATCGGTTTTCCAACAGCCTGGTTATTGCTAAAAGTCATCGGATAATTTCTACGCATTCTACTTAAAGACTTATGACAAGTCTGGGTGGGTCCCAACAGCGACGTTAAATTGCACACCCTGATGAGAAATCAAGACCTTTTTTGGGATGGTCGATGATCAGCTAGGTGTTCCCTAAATTCGAGGGATGATCAGTTACCCAGCCACCTGGTTATCGCTGAAACTCATCACATGATTTCTACGTATTCTATTTAGAGACTTTTGTGACAAGTCTGGGTGGGTCCCAACAGCGGCGATAAATTGCACACCCTGATGAGAAATCAAGACCTTTTTTGGGATGGTCGATGACCAGCTAGGTGTTCCCTAATTTCGAGGGGTGATCGGTTTTCCAACGGCCTGGTTATTGCTAAAAGTCATCGGATAATTTCTACGCATTCTATTTAAAGACTTATGACAAGTCTGGGTGGGTCCCAACAGCGACGTTAAATTGCACACCCTGACGAGAAATCAAGACCTTTTTTGGGATGTTCGATGACCAGCTAGGTGTTCCCTAATTTCGAGGGGTGATCGGTTTTCCAGCGGCCTGGTTATTGCTAAAAGTCATCGGATAATTTCTACGCATTCTATTTAAAGACTTATGACAAGTCTAGGTGGGTCCCAACAGCGACATTAAATTGCACACCCTGACGAGAAACCAACACTTTCTTGGGATGGTCGATGACCAGCTAGGTGTTCCCTAAATTCGATGGGTGATTGGTTTTTTAGCCACCTGGTTATCGCTGAAACTCATCACATGATTTCTACGTATTCTATTTAGAGACTTTTGTGACAAGTCTGGATGGGTCCCAACAGCGGCGATAAATTTCACATCCTGACGAGAAACCAACACTTTTTTGGGATGGTCGATGACCAGCTAGGTGTTCCCTAATTTCGAGGGATGATCAGTTACCCAGCCGCCTGGTTATCGCTGAAACTCATCACATGATTTCTACGTATTCTATTTAAAGACTTTTGTGACAAGTCTGGGTGGGTCCCAACAGCAACGGTAAATTGCACACCCTGACGAGAAACCAAGACTTTCCCCCAAATTCGCCTGATAATGGGGTGGTGATCGATTTGCCAACTACCTGCTTCCCGCAAAGAGTCATCAATTCAATTCAATTTAGAGAATTTTGTGACAAGCCTGGATGGGTCGGATTTCAACCACCTGATTCTCCCGAAGGGTCTTATTTTTAACAACTTTAAATTGTGACAAGTCTATATGGGTCCCAACAACGACGTTAATTCGCGGTTCCTGGCAAGAGACTTCAAATGTGTCTGCTGATGGGTTGATAACAGATTTTCCAGCCACCTGAGTGCCGCGGAAAGTAACTGATAACTGGATAAATGGTACTCTATACATAGATGAATCTCTACACCAATTGATCAGCTGCTCCCTACTTGTTCCAGTTAGAGACTGTAGTCCCTAAATTCGTCTGCTGATGGAATATCAATGTTTACCATTGTTTGCTGTCTCTACCAAGGCTGTTAAACGCGTATTGTCTCTGGGAATGATAGAGGAATCCAGAACCAGTAAGGAGCAACAAGTGTTAACTTACCGAACAACGCCGGAGGTTCGACGTCCCTGACGGACAAACTTGAAGATGCCTGAGAAGCGCTGGACTCTGTGCTTTGTGTGCACCTCAATCTCCTCCTGAGTTTCGGCATATCAAAAGGTAAATCCCGAAGGTCGACACTGGTGGCACTCCCGGATGTGGTCGCATCCTGCTGCAGCAGCAACCTCCTCCTCCTCAGCTTGGGCATATCGAACGGCAGATCCGAGAGCTCGGGTACCTGATGATCAGCCAGGTTGATGTTATCCAGGTGCGGCTTGGGAGGATGGAACCCAAAAGGCTTGCACTTGATCCCAGCCCTGGACTCTATAGAGATGCCGCTATCAGAGCCCTGGATCTCGGCATCCCCGGACGAGGAGCTCTGCAGCGCGAGGTTGATGAGGTTCTTGTTCTGCGGGGTGCGTCGTTTCTTGAAGGACGAGTCACCCCCGGGCGAAGTGACGGCATTAACGACATTAGCCACATTCGCCGCGTTCGCCACATTAGCCACATTGGCGTTCCCAGTCGTTCCCTCGGTCCTGTTCTCAGTGGCGGTCTCCTCCGGCGACGCCTTCTGCGAGTTGTTGTTGCGGTTGTTGTCCGAGGTCTCGGATGCCGGCTCCTGGGACGACTTGTCGGAGATGGGCGAGAGTATATGCAGCTTATTGGCATGGTGTGCAAGGAACCCAGCAAGACTGGGCTGCTGGTGATGATGCAGGAAGCAGTTGGTACTGCCACTGTCCGAGCTGTGCGAGCTGAGGCTGGTGCTGTGTCTGCTCTCCGAGCTGCTGGTGGATCGGTTCCCCTCGCTGGTGCTGCTGCGCAGGGACTCCATGCTACCGCCACTGCTGCTGGTGGCCATGGACTCCGTGCTGGAGTACCCGGCACGTCTTCTCCCAGTCCTCAGTTTGAACTCCAAGAGGCCAGCTTCCGCTCTACCGGTCCTGGGCAGATCCCCCTCGGCCTCTCTGGGCCTTCCCTTGAACTCCATGATGGGCCTGCTCTCCCTTATCAGACTCCTGGGTCGTGGTCGTTCCTCCCGGGGCCTGCCCTTGAACTCCAGGATCAGCTCCCTGTCCATCCTCCTAACCTGTGCCTCCCCAGCGGCCTGCTCCTGTAGGTGGAAGCTCTTCGGCCGGCCCTTGATCTCCAGGATGCTGCCCTCGCTGCTCCTGGGCGACTCCTTGGCCCTCAACGAAGACTTCACCGGCAGCCTCGCATCCTTCAATCTGGGGTGATCCTGCTGCTGCGTGGGCAGGTTCGGCGCGCTCCTGATGTTCAGCAACAAGTTCTCCCTGGTCCCGTGGAACTTCGCAGGCAACGGCGCGGTGGAAGGCGGCGACGGGGTGTATCCTCTTGCCGGGAGCCTAGGCGAGGCCTTCTCGTCTCCAGAGTTGACCTGCAGAGCAGCGACCTCCTGGGATAGCTTCGCGACTTGCTCCACATGCTGAAGGCGACCTAGGACTGGCTTCGGCCGCAGGGTGACCACCTTGTTCCTGTGGTGGTGCTCCTTCCCCACTTGGACCCCACTTTGCTGGTGATTCTGGCCCTGACCCTGGGACCTGACTTCCGTAAACCCTGAGACTCCTGGCCTGGATGCCGGGACCGATGACGCGGACACGCTGCGCACGTTCCCCGGGTGTAGAACCGGGTGGTTGGTCACCCGGTCCAGGTCGTCCAGGTCGTCGTCCGAGCGGCTGACTTTGCAGTCGAAGGCCGTCTCGTAGAGGTGGCGGCGTCGAGCCATCTCCTCCTCGTCGGGCGCCCCTCGGGGCCCGTTCTCCTCCTCGTCTTCGTCCTCACCCTCCCCCTCGTCCTCGCCGTAGTCGTCCTCGTCCTCCACGAGTGCTGGTTGCGGCTCGATCCTCCGTGAACGCCGGAGCTTCCGGGACTGTCTGGGCGGCACTACGGGCTGCGCGCGGCCCTCTAGGGAGAAACAGGTGCAAATAAAAATTATTAACCTAAAAATGTATCTCATCGAGACTCTGCCGCAAGCATAATCAATATTAAATCAATACAATTTTTGTTGCTTGAACCGTAGAATATGGTCATTGCATGGCCAATCAAATGATTGGTTGACATGATTAAATTCTTTGGTTAATAACGTTTGCCTGATCACGTTAAATATTAAAGTAATTTGGTACCCTCGAAACTATTTTAATCTTTTTGATTGTTCGACAAAAAAAATTTAGTATTTGTGCGTAAAAGGATGATCCTCTCCGATTTTCGTATAACTTTGATATAT